TGGTAGAACCCATGCCTATGTAAGCAGATGACAGGAAGGGATGTACCACTGGGTGCATTGTGACATCGCAGTGTTCTCCTTCCCCCAGGTTACTTGAACCCCAGTCGTGTGGCTGTGGTTCTTCCCCAGAGGATTTGAAAACCAAGGTAATAGCTTTTATTTTTAACTAGGATGGGATATGAGCAGAGGCATGGATAGTACAGATAGCAAATGTCTCAAAATTTCATGTGTTAGGCCAAAGGAAGAGAAAATTGATGAAGTTGATATGAATTGTAGACAATTGAAAACCTGTGAGTTATTTTCAGACATTCTCATGGACTAGTTTCACAACATATTTGGCTCCAAGTGATTAAAACCATGGGAAGTGAAATAGTTAAGATAGAATACTGTATGTATTTTATGTTATTACTCTGATTGAAAAGAGAGACCGCATCATAAAATTATATGTGGTGGCTGTGTCTTTCTGAAACCTTTTGGACACAGTTTTGTAAGTTTCAAACCTTTTGGTACTATTCTTTTAAATTTTATATTATATTCTATAATGTTATCTGGTTATATTAGTTAGATAAAATTTATATTAACTTTACTTTTTTAAAATTAAAAAACCTTGTGTCTGAGTGTTTGCCTGGGTTTATGTACATGTGCCATGTGTTTGCCTGGTTCTCTTGGAGTTCAGGGAGAGTTGTATAATCCTCTGGTCCTGGAGTTAAAGACAGTTTCATTCTGCCATGTGGATTATGGCAATAAAACTCAGGTCTTCTACAAGGGCAGCAAGTATGCCTTCTGAGCCAGGCAGACTTTATTCTTCAAGAAAAAAAAGTGTTTGCAGGGCAATATCACTTCCTGAGAACCTCTCTCACTTTCTATCTTATCTTTAATAAATATGTGTTGGCTTTATTCAACAAAGTATTCGGCTTCTGAACTGGCTATTTTCATGTCACACTGACACACACTTCTGTCTTCATATAGGGAGCCTTTTTTGATATAAGGCCACCTTATGATCAGGCTGTAGGTAATCTCTAGGGAATTTTCTTAATTGGTGATTGATATGGTTGTACCATTGTGGGTGGATTCTCCCTGGATTCCTGTGTTTTATAAGATAGAAAGGTGTGTAAACCATGACAAGAAAGCCAGTGAGCAGCTCTCCTCCCTGGGCTCTGCATCAACTCTTGCCTCCAGGATCCTTCAAAGATGAACAATGATGTTGGATTGCAAACCTAACAAATCCAGTCCTCCCTAAATTCCTTTATTCCCACTTTTTAATTTAAATTAGAAACAAGATTATTTTACAGGTCACTCCCAGTTCCCTCTCCCTCCCCTCCTCCCCTGTTCCCCACAACTAACACCCTATCTATCCCATGTGCTTGACTGATCCAACTTGCTTTTGTTGATGGTATTTCATCACAAGAATAGTTATCCTGACCAAGATAACTTCTTTTGCAGTTTCTAGATGTAAGCATTTTATATTAAAATATTTAAAGCAATAGTTAAAATTTTGCATATATGCACAATGAGTAATTTTCAGGGATCATGTCTTTCTTTTTTTTCAGTCCTAGGTATGAACACTAATGCATCATGGATGCTAGGGAAATACGTATCACTAAGCTATACCTTTAACTCTGAGGATAATATTTTCATAACCCAATATTACCTATATATATGTATAGGTAATATGCATGTATATAAATACATATTGATAAATAGATAAAATATGTACACATCTGATCTATCATTTATTTGTTTAACCAATTGACAATTTGTATTGCCACATTCACAATCACTATTATTATTACTATTATTATTTTAGACAGGGTCTCTCCATGTAGCCCTGCCTATCTTGAAACTTCCTTTGTAAAAATCTGTCCTTTGTGTGTGTGATAGATAACATATATATATATATATATATATATATATATATATATATATATTTATATACATATATTTATTTCTTTATGAAGGAAAGCAATTGAGGAAAAGACTTGACATCCATCTCTGCCTTCCATATATGCATGTACACACATATACAATTACCCCCCACACATGGAAGCATGCATGCACACAACATACAGATAAATGGTGAAAAAAGTGAAAGACAACATTCATGGAATCTACTGATGCTTTTCAAAGTTTCCCAAATTTACTTGTATCCATCCATGTATGTGTGATTCTTTTTATCTTATGTGTAAAAAGATTTATTTTTAAGTTTTAAAATTTAGATGTATGCATGTTTCTCTCTGTAGGTATAGGAACATCAGTGGCAAGGTAGGTCAGAACAGGGCATTCATTCTCCTGGAGTTAGAGTTGTGTTACAGCTTTAAGATGGTTAGGTTTTCCCAATACAAATGTTACAGCTCTGGAGGGAAAGGTGTTCTGGCATTTGGGAGTCAAGGAATACCAGAAAGTCACATAGCATAACAAACCCCATGTAGGAGGTTTATTGAGAAGGACACAGGACTCCAGTAAGAAGCAGCAGGGATCTGAGCAGGAGGCAGGCTTATGCAGGGTTTCTTTGGGGAACAGTGTTTCAAGTGAAGATTACCAGCATGGGGTTTGGTAAGATTTCAAGCCAAGCCCCAAGGATTGGTGGGTTTGAGTTGATTGGTGGGTTTGCTCAATTTGTGAGTTCAGAGATTAGCAGGTTTTGTTAGATTTTCTTGTTTGCTTTTTTAAAGATTTATTTATTTAATATGTATACAGTGTTCTGTCTCCATGTGTCCCTGCAGGCCAGAAGAGGGCACCAGATCTCATTAAGTGGTTGCTGGGAATTGAACTCGGGACCTCTGAAAGAGCAGCCAGTGCTCTTAACCTCTGAGCCATCTCTCCAGCCCCGGTTTTGTTAGATTTTCAAACCCGGAATTGGACTCGGATCTTTTACCGTACAGGAGTTATAGGCAGTTGTGAGCTGCCTGATGTTGGTGCTGGGAACCAAACTAAGGTTCTCTCCAGCCTCATGAGAACATAACTTTGACTTAGTATTTCCATTCTGTGGAATCTCTCTTCTAGAGAAACTTGCAGGTATGCCCAAAGCATTGTGTGCAGAAACTGATTACTGATTACAATATTTATCTAGCACTCCAAGAAATGGCAACATCCTCCCAGCATCTTTGGGGGACAAGGAAATGCTTGGTTTTTGGTGTTTCAAGACAGTGCTTCTCTGTGTAGCTCTGGCTGTCTTGGAACTCACTCTATAGACCAGGCTGGCCTTGATCTCACAGAGATCTGCCTGCCCCTGTCTCCCAAGTACTGGGACTAAAGCTGTGTACCGTGACCACCTGTCACAATGAAATACTTTTGTCACAATGTGAAATGTAGTGGAGAATAAAGAAATGAATATATCAACAGGAACAATAGAAAGCTTGCCAGACTAAGTGTACAGTCTGTAGGACATGATAATAAAATTATACCAGAGTAAAGATGTAGAAGGCTAAGTGTAAATGTTCACATGATGATAATAAATTTATACTGGAGTAAAGTTGTGCAAAGGTAAGTGTATGTGTTCACAGGAACACATGAAAAATATGAAGGATGCCACAAGGTGTGTCAATGCACACCTGTAATCTTAGCACTCTGGAGGTGGAGGCAGGTTTGCCACAAGCTTCAGGCTTGCCTGACTACATAGTGTGCTCAAGGTCAGCCTAGACTACACAGCCATCCTCTATCTGAAAAAAAAAAAGCACAAGCAAACAGCACGCAGTGGTTAAAACTAGTTACTAAATGTTTCAATTGAGAAGCCAAACATCTCAAATGGAACCAAATCTCCAGCCTTTGGAGCCCAGCCTGTGCTTGTGAGTAGTTCAAAGACTTCTGCAGATAAGGTAGTCTCCTCAACCTGCAAGAGAGGGAAAGTGGGAGTCTTTCCTGAGCAAGTGACTTACGGCATTATCATTTCATGGTGCAGGGGAATGTCATGGATGTTGAATAGACAAGGGACAGGAAAAGCAGCAAACTCACACAGCTTCCTTTCAAACCTGTAATTGCCTGGAAACAGCACCCCAGACTATGGTGGAGAATTGAAACTGAAAAGCCACCTAGATTGAAAGTCTAAACCCTCATGTGGACAAACTGAGGGCACCTTAACAAAGCAGCGCTCTTACCAACTGGCAATTGAAAGATAGTGGGTCTTTTTGCACACCTGTGGTGACCCTGTGATCCATTTTTTTCTAACAGCAATCAGCCAGCAGTTATTTACAAGTAGAATCAAAACGTGTACAAGAAGGGCAAAATAGGGCATGGAATGAACTTGCAGCCCCCAAAGAGGAAAACAAGTTCTTTCAATCCCCCTCCACTATCCCTTGCATTTTTGTAACATACAGACACATTTTTCCATAATACACTCCCAGCAAAATTGAAACCACATGTGCAGATGGCCAGTCTGGGCTGTGCATGTTCCTTTGCAAGCCGTTCCTGTGAGCTGCTGCAAAAGCGGCTTTCTCGGCTCCTGGATGCTGGGGCTTGTCTGAGATGCCCCTAAGTAGCAAACAAACCCCTTCCTACACAACAGCCCAGCTCCCTTCATTTTCCAAAAGTTACAAAGTGTATATTTCCTTCCTGATAAACTCGAAAGCTTGCTCCCTGATTGGTCTCAGTTTAGGAAAGGGCATGACATCAGCAACTTTGCAGACTTCAGGCCTGGGGGGCTGTTGTGGACTTTGGACGCTCTCCAGTCTGCTAGTTGGAGTGTATGTGTGTGCACGCTTGTGTGTTGTGTGTGTGTGTGTGTGTGTGTGTGTGTGTGTGTGTGTGTGTGTGTGTGTGTGGGTGTGTGTGTGTGTGTGTGTGTGTGTGTCTGAGGATCTGTTTGGCCACAGGTAGTACTCACATTACCCTGCCTGTGCTCTTCTCTGGTGGACGCTCTCCAGTCTGCTAGTTGGAGTGTATGTGTGTGCACGCTTGTGTGTTGTGTGTGTGTGTGTGTGTGTGTGTGTGTGAGGATCTGTTTGGCCACAGGTAGCACTCACATTACCCTGCCTGTGCTCTTCTCTGCTGCAGGCTGCCTGGACCAGGACGCGTGCTGTTCAGCCAGCCACAGAACTGGAATTTCCCAGGGGCAACAGGAACATGGTATTCGGGTTTTTCTGAGCAACCGAAGTGGAACATAGTTTCCTGACCCATTACAGTACAATGGACGGTGGACGAAGGAGCAGGCTTCAGAGGCTAGGAGGCTGCCCTCATCTCAGATTCCTTTCAAATCCGTTGATGGGGGGTGAGTCATAGACAATGTGACATCAGAGTGCTGGGGAGGGTGGTTAGTGTACTCAAGAGAGAAAAAAAATAGCTGGGCTATATCAGTGGGTCTTTCTGTGGGTTATCCATAGGGTAGCTAACTGGACAGACATCTGCTCATAGGTATTCTAGTCTGAATTCCTTAAGTGGTTATTTAAAAATATACCTTTATCTGTAGAGTCATAAAAAATGAAATAAATTTTAATTATCACAGGGCATTTTCTAGTGGTGAAAACTTTTGCTCCAAGGAATCATTTTTTGTGGGTCAGATATATTACTTATTAAATAGGAGGTTTAAGAGTTACTTATTAATAGCAGTGTTTTGGTCTCCTGTGTAGTCCAGGTTGGCCTTAAACTCATTATCCTCTTGTCTCAGCCTCTGAGATGCTGAGATTATAGGTGTGTGTTTGTGTGTGTGTGTGTGTGTGTGTACATGCTTGTATATGTGCACCAACCCACTAGGTCTTATAAGAACATTCTCGAAGCTATTTTGTATTTGGTGAAGCCAGGCTTGTCAAGGATGTTGGCTGGTTGATTGACTTTAGAAATATTTTTTAAAAGCTGCAAAGGTTTCCCACAGGTATGAATTGTCCCTGTTGGGTGATACATTGGCTAATGTAGGGTCTCATGCATTCTCTCACTGCCACTCTCCTATAAACATCCAGCAGGTTCCAGATGAAGGAATTCTGGGCCTAAGCATTCAAGGAGACAGTATTACATTCGGCACACTTGGTAGGCTGCCCATAACATTTGTCTATTAGAAGGACAATAAACAGGAGTTCTAAAGTCCCTTAGGACTTAATAATGTCTTTCTGTACAGGTATGTAAGTGGAAAACTATAGAAAGTAGACAATACAAAATCCATTTCATCTCTGATTGAGGAGACAGGCTTGCACATCATCCCCCCATTGACATGGTTTTCCTTGCAAACTATGCGGAGTCCTCAATTATAAGCAGGGCTTCCATATACAAAGTCAGAACTGAATTTATCAGTATGTATGGAGCACAGATTAGGAATAGTAGGAAGTTAGAGTGGCCTTGAGACTCATTCTCAAAATAGGGTTTGATGAGTATTTTTAAAGCACCAATACAATCATTGTTGGAAATGAAGAATTCCGAGGTGTTCTCAACAGTCACTTTACAGCAAAGGCTTCTGTTTTTATTTTTGTTTGTATGTGGAGAGAGGAAATAGCCATTTTCTCCTGGAGGTTTTGCTGCTTAGAAAGTGGACAGCTTGTTCAAACTAGGATGGAGAGTATCTTGGAGTCAATTTAGTCAATTTGGAGAGGCAGAACTGGATGATGGAGCTTGTTCATGCATGCACGTGTGTGCACACATGGAAGTTAGTGCATGCATTGATATTTGAGTGTGAAGGTGGAGGCCAGAGGTCAACACTGGGTATCTTTCTCTACTGCTCTCTACCTTGTTTTGTGAGACAGGGTCTATTTCTCACTGGATCTGAGTATTATGTTTCGGCAAGACTTGATGGCCAATGAGTCCCCAGGATGTGCTTTTTATGCTCCTCTAGCACTGGGGACAAATGTGTATACTCCCATGCTTGGCTTTTTACATGGATTTTGGGCATCTGAACTCATATCCTTATCAGGCACTTTATTCACTGAGTCATCTCCACTGCCACTGGATGATAAAGCTTTTGAAGCTATGACAGGGTTAGGCTTTGTGGGTTGGAAACCGGAATTCATTGATGGCTCTGGAGCAGAGCGATGGCAATAATGAAGACTATTGAGTAGATTTATATAGTACTCCCAGTTAGGATAGATCATGGTGACACACAGAACATGCTGAACTAATCCACTTGTTCTCCTATGCCTCAGCATCACCTAGGAGTTGTTAACATGGAGGTGATGCTGCTTCTGTGATAGTGACAGGACCGCGGTGAAGCCTGGATATCTTCATTGTCAACCAGGTCCTAAGTGGTGCAGACAGGAATTGTCAGGGACCACACTTTAAGAAACATCACACAAATCCATGTAGACAGCTGATACCTAGGTCAAACTTCAGAAATGATGGAGAGTGGGCTTCAATTCTGAAGGAAAGATCAATGGGATTGTGCTGCTTGATACAATATTGTGGCAAATTGATAGCATCCTAAGTTGTGAAGTTTTAAACCTCACATTAGGTTAAACTGAACTAGTTAAGAGGGAAATTGGAAAGGGTGATGGCTGAGGAGTAGAATAAGGAAGGGAGGATGCAGAATTCTCTCCCTCTAGCTCTGTTATATGTCCATGTATGTGCATGTGTGGGTATACATGAATATGTATGTAGGTATGTGTGAAGGTCAGAAGTCAATATTGTGTGTTGTCATTAATCCCTTGCCACCTAAATATTTTGAAGCAGGGACTCTCATTGCACTTGGAGCTTGCTGATTAAGTAAGTGTAGCTTGTTAGAGAGCTCCAGGGATCCTCCTCACAATTATCGCCTCACACTGGGATTACAGATGCATTGCCATAGCTGATTTTTTGGGGGGATGCGGTGGATCTGAACTCATGTCCTCATGCTTATGTGGCAAGCTTTTGAATAAATTGAATTTCTTGCTAGCTCTCCAGAGTTCTATTTTGGACATAAAAGTATGAATAATATTGCCGAACCCACATAGCCTGATGATATGGGGCTAAGGTAGGAGATGAATACAGGTTGTGTGTGAGAAGCCTCAGAGTGTTTTTCAGAGGGCTTGTGGTTGCAACCCAGTGAAAGGAGAAATTTTTCAATGGCTAAGAACTGGCACTTGGGGACAGCAAAGATGTGAAAGCAGTAAGCTGGACAGAAAAAGAGAAAGGGATTTCTGATGTCACTATTCCATGGGGCCTAAAGGGATAGCAGTTTTTGAAGACACTAGAATCACAGGATAGATGCCTGGACATTCAGGCATACATGCCTGCATACATCCTCCTTCTCTGATCCAGAATGACAAATTCCTTCCCACCTTCCACACTCAACAGACCCCCTGCTCCCATGCAGCCCTCCTAGGTTTTTTCCTCTTCCAAAGTCGACTTTAGTTTTGCTCCCTGCTTTGCACCAGGGGTTAAAAAACCCTCAGCAGTAGCTGCTTACATCTGTTTACCCTTCTGAGACCTTGACCTTGGTGAATGGTGGAATGTGGAACTTTCAGAATATTGTTTCCAAAGTTGGCTCCAAGACACTCAGCTCAGTTGAAGGCACAAGGACAAGTCAGAGGGAAGTATAGGTCTGGAAATTGAGTGGCTGCAGGTATAATCACTAAAATGGAGCCTTACTGGAATGGGTTGGATCCTTAATCCCAGAAGACTGGTGTTTCACTAAAAGAAGGAGAGGGAACATTCAGAGAGGATGCTATAAGGCAGAGGCAGCGATTAGAACAAGGGATCTATGAACCAAGGAAAGCCAAGGATGGATTTCCAGAGTCAGAAGCTAGAGGAGGTGGGGAAGGATTCCTTCCTAGAGACTTTGGAAAGGGCATGGCCTTGGTGAAGCTTTCAGACTTCTCTTAGACTTCTAGCCTTGACAACCACACAAAAATTCATTCCAATTGTTTTAAGGTAGTTTGTTACAGCATTCTAGGAAACTAATCCACACTACTTGTAGACACTTCACAAATACTTTAAAAGGTAAATTAATGTCCCTAATACCACCAATCACACATTTATTAGTATCTATCCTTAATTTTAAAACAACATTTTTTCACATTTATTCCTTTTGTATGTGTGTGAGTATGTGCCTGTGGAGGTCAGAGGACAATTTGTGGGCATAGGTTCTCTCCGTCCACCATGTGGACCCCAGGGATTGAACTCAGGCCACCAATTGACTGAGCTACCTCTCTGGCACAAGTTGGTTTGCGTTTGTTTGTTTGTCTGGAAGCTCATACCTATGTAGATAATTCTCTCTTTACAAAACCGAGACCACCATATTAGCAGAGAATTTTCACATTTAAGCAGAAAGCAGCCAAGAATAGGCATTAAAAGGAAATAGTTCTCATCTTCTGATGGGGTGCTTTAAGATACTGAGACAATTTGGCAGAGGATGCTCGAGGGTGACCTGTCTATGTAAACAGAAGAGGCAATAATGTGAAATTGTGGAGAGCAGAAGGGAGGAGGGTACAGCAAGGGGAAGAAGGGGTAAGAGAGGAAAGAAGGGGCTGGATAATGCATGGAATAGAGAGGACAATTTTGCCCCATAAGTCTCATGCTTGCTCCACCCTCTCCTCATCAGGATTCTTCTCAATGCCACCAAATCTGCCTATGTCACATCTTGGGTACTCCAGTCTCCTTAGAACAACTCCCTGTCTCACTTTTGACCTTGCAAAAGTTTCCTAACATGGATGGGCTTTTGCTACTGTCCCACATTTACAGTGTTCTTGGAGCTTCCTCAATAGCTCTTTTCAGAATGCAGCAATTAGTGCACTTTAAATCTCTCCTGAGATAATGGAAATCTTAGAAATTTTTCCAGAAAGCATAATAAAAATGAAATGGCAACTGTCCCAATGTGCCACAGGCTTGATAGAGACACTCTCCTTTTCAAGGGTAAGTTTAATGACACTAGTTGGAGGACTTGTGGAGTAGTTTTGTCATGACAGTTCTCTGCCCTAGTTTACCCATAATCTACAATGCTGGGTCTATGGTGTTACTAGTGACAACATTCGGCATCCATTTTGGCAGTAAACCAAAGATAGACCATGCTTGAACAAATACTGTGAATAAGTACTCAATATATGCCAAGAGCATGTACAATCTTTGCATACAATGACTCTTGGATTTCAAAGACTGATGAAGTTGACATAAAAAAGGTATTATGGCCTTCTACTATCAGACCATGGATAGTCTCCTACCATGAGCACCATCCATGGTCTGATAGGAACATAGGTCCCCTCTTCTGCTTGTTCTGCTCTTTCCAGCTCCCAGTTTTCAGGAAGTGGGTGAGGATGCCTTAGAATTTTTTGGGCCATGGATTGAGCCTGTAGCTCATTGCCTACTCTAGGCATGTATCCTGGAAACCACCTGAGAAGTGTGTTCTAGGTCTTTCCTTCCACACGGAGCAAATCCCAGCTTTCTATCTAGTGTTTTATGGAGTAAAGTGTGTGTGGATTATTGTTATGCTGCAAACTTACAATGTTTGCTTCCTCTGCCCTGCCCTTTCTCCCCCTCATTTCCTCTTTCCACCTCTCCTTTCCCCCTTGCATGTGCAATCTGCTGTGTCAATGCTAGAAAAATGTTAATGTGCTAATCTTACCAGTGTCAGCATTTCGTTTTTACATACTGTGGTGTTCTGAGATATCCTGAGGGTAGAGTCCTTGTATAAACTTAAGAAAGGTTTAGGTTAAGGACTTATGTTTTTCTTCTGGGCAGGAGCATGAGCTTAACAAGTGATAAAATAAAATGGCTTTGAAGTTAGAAGGGTAAGCTTTGTATATTGTTGATGGAAATACATTGTGGGACAGCCACTTTGGAAAGTACTCTCAAGAGGCTAAACATAAGTCTCATTCTTTGGGGTAGATACAAATAATTGAAAACGTACATTTACCCCCAAATGTGGACAGGAATGTTTATAACAGCATTATTGCTGGCCCAAAAGTGAGGACAACACAAACTTGCTGCACTTGATGAATGTGTCAATAAAATATAGTTGATCCATACAATGTTTATTTGACTAAAGATAGGGTGAAGGTTAGTTAGTACATGTTACAGGGTGGATGCAGCTTGAAGCATGCTGAATTAAAGGAGTCAGTCCCAAAGAACCACATATCATACAGTTACACCTAGATGAACTGTGGAGAATAGGCAAATGCTTAAAGACAAGAAACAGATCAATGGTTGTCAGGGCTTGGGGCAGGTGCAGATGTGCAGTGAATGCTAATTGCCATGAGGTTTCTTCACAAGGTAATGAAAATTGCCCGAGATTGATTGTATTAGCTCAATGAAGATGCTCACTAGCTATCCAGATACAGGTATTAGTATTGTCAGCCTTGTGATGTGTTCCCAAACCACACTCTATACTTCTTAAAGACGCAGGCTGTCTCTGCTTCTAAATGCTGAATTCTGTGTGGTTTCAAAGCATCAAATAGACTTGGTTTTGATCTTGCCGGGGAGCTTCATTCTGTATTTGCTGTAACAAAGAGGAATAATGTTTCCTTGATGACTAAGTAGGATCCAAGTCCCAGTTTCTGGCCTTCATTTAATAATATAGTTGCAAGACTTTAATGATATCTGAACAGAGTTGTAATTTAGGGCCTAAATTACATTCCTGGACTATTTAGGCTGTCAAGGATAGTAATCTTAAGACTGCTTTAAAATTATGAAGAATTTGACAACTGTATTTTTTAGCAGCTGAGTGCTTGGAAGAAAAATTAAAATCATATCACACTCATTGAGCCATTGGTGTCCAGCTGCACATGTACTAAAAACTGATTTTCTAAACCTTCCTCAAAAATTCATCTTTTCTTGCTGAAGATTTTCTGTGAATGGTGCCCTCCATTATCAGCACCCCAAAGATGGGATTACCTGCACCTTTTATTCTAGTTTAGAACCCAGTCTTTCCATATCTAGAATCTGAATTTAAAACTCCCTAGAAGCAGTAGTGCTTTTCCTGAGAGAATTAGGAACCTCTGTGAATGCTGTGAGCCTAGGTACACAGTCCAAGATTTTGGAGATAGGAAAAGCCATTTCCCTTAAGGTGTTTTGTCTTCAGACCTAGTGACCCCAGTAAGAAAGCACTGGATGGGCTGCGTGTAGGTGGCCCACATAGCATCCTTTCATGTACTAAATGCTTAATGAGTCCATCTGCAAGGATGGTAATTTGCTCACTGGGACAGATTTTCCAGGGCACTGATGGCTCCAGGTGGCAGGCAGTCCTCAGCTAACAGGCATTAGGTACAAAGTGTTCTTGTCTTCCTCTTCGTGGCCTTTGAGTCTGCAAGGCATTAGCAATTCCCCTATCTCTCAGGCTCTCTCAGCCTTTAACAGCCCATAAGTGCCCATGCAAGGAGCAAGGAGCAAGGAGCATTAGACAGTTGCACCTTGCTTGCGTGTCATGTGTTCATCAAAGCAAGACAGAACTGGAGCTGATGCCGACTCAGGCAAACCTCCCCCATTGTAGCTTCCTGCATCTGTTTGTTCTGGAAATCAGATGCAGCTTGAGATGAGAAACAAATCTGGTCTGTGCCACATTCAATTATATCTGCACTTAATTGCAAGGGCAGAGGAAAGCTTATCCAACACGAGAGGGTTTACAGGCTTCTTTCCTGAAAATTTGTATTCCTCTTGAATGATGGTAGACTACATTGGCTGTTTTAAATTCAATGCTTATGGGGTGTAATCAAGACACTGTTTAGTGTCACGACAAGATAATAATAGTAGCTAATATGTATTGAGCCATGGGTAAGTATATTTCTGCCTTTACCCAAAATTAAACTGAGAGTTGGAGTTTGTTCAGGGTGCTACTGTTCAGAAGAGGTCAACTGGGTCTGAACTCAGACTGCTCTTTTAACCACATTAGCACCCTGGTTAGAGGGGAGGGCCACAAATAATGCCATGATTTCAAGGTTAGACTGAATTCTGATTTGTGCTTAATACTGGGACAGACGGTAACCTACAAATAGATACAGTTCTGCTTAGATTTGATTCCAAGCCTAATGGTGTATGTAATTATATGATTGCTACTATTAGTGCATGCTACTGTTTGCTGAGATGCCAAAGTTTGGGTTTCATGCAGGAAGTGAGACTGGCAAGCACAGCTGAACTCGCTAATGCTGGTAATTAGCAAAACTCTCACGTAGCTAAATGAACCATTTGCCTTTGAAACAGTATGAAAATGGAAGTTCAGTCATCTACCTGTCATTCCAATCTGCCTCTTTAAAATATTAATTTAAATCAGATTTGTTTTTCGAAGGATGCATAAAACTCCAGATTGTATGCGTTTATGAAGTACTGTATAATGGTTTGCTCCATGTTGAAATCATGTTATAGATATCTGTCTCTTCAAGCACTGTTTTTTTTAATGCTGAAAACGTCAAACATTTTGTAGCTTTTTGAAATCTGTATCAGGCAGTTGCTGTTTAAAATCACCTTATGGAGGAACATTGGAGCACAGTTTCTCGTTCCTCTCTAAAATAGTGACTTAGTATCCACCAATAAATCTTTCCTATATCTCCTCTCTTCCTACTCCCCCAGCCTCTGGTGACCACTGGTCTCCTCTCCATTTCCTGCATAGGAACTAGACCGTGTTGGACTTTCTGTGCTTGGCTTGCTTCACTCAACATGCTTTCCCAGCCTGCCTCTTTGGTCCTTAGTTTGGGTGCTAGTCTAAGCACATTGCCATGATGTAACCCATTCCTCCCTTTCTGTGCAGACATTGTATCTGACTGGTCACCTCTTCATGATGCTGCAATCCATGGACGCCTGCTGACCCTGAGGAACCTTATCAACCAGGTAGTTCTAGTAATAATAAGAGTATATCCCATTGCTATCACAGACTGAGCAAAGAGACAGATATTTCCTCTTAAGCAAAATAAGCAAAATGAAGTGAATCTCATTGCAATAACCATTTCATTCTTTGTAGGCTGTCATAATATGAAAACCTAAGCACACAGTGGGAACAATGCTAAATACTTGTTCAATGAATTACTAGAAAGTGATAATTTATGTCCCTTTCAGTTTTTTAAATAAACCTTGTTCTTATATTTATCCGGGGAAGATGGTTCAGTCAGTAGAGTGTCCACTGTACAATCACGAAGACCCAAGTAAGAATCCCCAGAACCCACATAAAAATAACAAAAAATAAACTGGGCTCAGTGGCACATGTCTGTAATAGTAGCACTCAGAGCACAGATACGAGCAGATACCCGGAGCTGTGGTCTAGCCAGTTGATGAGTACTGGCTTCAATAAGAGATCTGTATCAAAAGATAAGGTAGTGAGCAAAAGTGAAAGATACTTATTTTCTACCTGTAGCCTCCATGTGCACACAACACACACATATGTGCTCATACAGAAACACACACAGACTTGCAACACATGAGCAAATTCATCTTGTGAAATATGGATTTTCAACTGCAGCAGCTTTGTCTCTCAGGAGGATAATTTCCAGAGCCACCATTCGTCGTCATCCTAGAGTGGTGCTAATGCATTTAGTGGGTAGAAAGCAAGGATGGTGCTAGGTGTCCTACAGTGCATAGGACAGCCCCCCATGTCAAAAACTAGGCAGCTCTAAATGCCAGTAGCACAAGGCATAAAAACCCTAATGTTAAATAAATGCTTGAAAATGTCATTTCATATATGCAGTCTTATAATTTTAGTGATATTTTCAATTTGGTCAAATCCCCAGTTGCCTGTGGCTCTCTCAACAGTTGGATTTAAGTTTTCTTCTTCTTAGGTGTAAGTTGCCTGCACTTACTGATTTTTGTTGCTTTTGAATTATTAGAAACCTTTGCACAGACACTGGTAAAAGCAATTTACATCCTAACAAAGTTGTTTTCAGAAAGTTCTATTCTCCAAAATAGAGACTATATGTTTGTGAGTTGTGCACTCTGTGTCCGTCCGTCTCTCTCTCTCTCTCTCTCTCTCTCTCTCTCTCTCTCTCTCTCTCTCTCGTGTGCGTGCGTGCATGCGTGCGTGTGTGTGTGTGTGTAGTTGACATCAAATGTCTTTCTCAATCTCTTTTTCAAACCAGAAAAATTGATGGACACATTATCAAAGCAAAGTTTTAAAGGTTTAAATACGTAGGATACAAATCAGAGAAAACCTATCAAAATATTGAAACAAATGTGATGTAATAACATACGGATTTTTAGATTGACTTGTTAAAGTTTTAGCTGTGATTTTGAAACTACCATGATTTCTAAGCAGGGTGAGACTACTTTAATAACCATAATTCACTGAAAATGTCTGTGATAACTTTGGATGATAATACTATTAAATTCGGGGCACATAAAAGCAGTGAAAATAAAACTGAATTCAGAAAACATCTCAATTTCATGGACCTATCTAAAATAAGAAATTTGTCTATATGCATGTTATTTCCAACAAAAATGTATACTACCCTAAGCTACTGTGTTAAGGTAGTTTTGGAAGCAGCAGCCTATTATAACTACTTGCTAACATATAACTCTAGCCAAAAGATGTTAGACTACTTAGGTAAAATGAAATATTTATGCTATTTGGATAATATTAAAAATAATCATTGGTGCTTTCATGTATCACTTTTTTAGTTGGGTTTTGTTTGTTTTATTTTTATTTGATGTGTATAGGTGTTTTGCCTGCATGTATGTTTATGTACCATGTGTGTGCAATGCTCCAGGAAGACAGAAGAGGGTGCTGTGTCCTCTAGAACTAGTGTTTATAGACAATTGTGAGCCATCATGTTGGTGCTGGGAATTGAACTTGGGACTTCTGGAAGGGGCTAGAAAATACTCTCCACTGGTGAGCCATCTCTCCAGCCATATGTATCATTTTTTAACAGGAAAGGTGCTTGTTTATATTTGATATTTACATATTTACTGACCATCAACTTAGAGCCATACCTTTATCTAAAATCTATCAAGGCAGTTAAGAGAATTGTCATGTTTGGACATCAATCCCTGCCTTTATAAAGTGAGAATTCTTGTACCCACCTTTATTAGTCCACCTTAAAACTCAGGAACCAACACTCTTCCCAATATAGTGGCAGGATACAATAACCGTAATTTCTTGCTAATGAATGTTTGAGTCATTTGACATAAGCTTGACTTGGCTGGGCTCAGCTCTAAGCTGTGACACACATGCCCCTCATACTTCTTTGACCTCTGGCTGCCTAAGGGATTTTCTTTTCTTGGCAAAATGCTACTGTGTAGTAGGACAAGCTAAACCATCCAAGGATGGAATTCTTCCAATCCTGGTTTCTGGCACATCTGCTAACATCAAATTGGATAAATCAAATTAAAGGAAGAATATATTTTCTCAACCATGATGTACATATAACAGTGAAAATAGATTGGTATATCTGACTGACATGTTGACTGATAGTGGGCAAACACCTGCATAGAATACATGCTTCCTGGGTCAGTTAATGAAGTGTTAAACACATGAGAGAAAACTGAATGTTCAGTGCTAAATGTCAGCTTAGTATCCCTTTGGGTACCAGAGGTAGCAGTAATCTGGATGGCATCTAAACTTTTTTTTTTTTTACATGTATGCTGATTCACTGAGATGACACTTAGGATATGTGAGTTGTTTAATATATCTGTTATATTTCAATTAAAAATCATTAAAAACCCACAATGGTTGTTTGTTAGGTCAGCAGAAAGTAATTAATTTAGTGGTGTTTCCTCCAGATTTTGTGTTAGAATTCCCATAGGGTGCTGTTTGGTTGTAATCTTTATGGCATTGTCGCTGGGCCTGCTAATGTTAGCTGTAATGCCAGATACTCAGGAGCTGAGGCCAGAGGACCACAAGTTCAAGGTCAGCCTAACTTACAGAGTATGCTCCAAGCCCAGTCTGTGCAACTCAGATCTTATCTCACACTTTTAAAAGGGCTGGGGGTGGAGTGGGGTGGGGATGGCTCAGTGGTTAAAGTGCTGCAGCTCAAGCTTAAGGACTAGAGACTGGATCCTGGAAGCCATACAAATGCCAGGTGAGGATGTGGCCCACCTGCAATTCAGGCCTCAGAAGCAGAGACAAGAGATCCCCAGAGCAAGCTGGCTTGCAAAACTAGTCATATCAGCAAACTCTGGGTTTGACTGATCGAGCCTCCACCAGTGAATAAGGAGGAAGTGCAGTTCCAGACAATGACCTTTGTTCTACATAAGTGGGTGCACCCACATGCACAGGTGGCCCTACGTGTACAGTCACACATATGCAAACATACACACACACACACACACACACACACACACACACACACACCATACACAAACATGAAAAAGGAAAAAGAAGACAAAAAGACTTGGATATAGCTCAGTGATAGAGCACTGGCCTAATGAATGACAGGGCTTAGGTTCAATCCTGAGTGTTACGGCAATGAACCAAACGAACAACCTGCTAGGTGAATTCAGCCTCCTTTCTTTATGTTGCCATCACTCAGGGATGTAGCCTGGATACCAGGACTTTTTGAAAGCTTCCTACATAGTTCCTCTATGGTGTCAAAACCAAGAACCATCTCAGTAAGTTCTCACTGAAAGCAAGTAGATTTTTATCCCTCGGAAACTTGAGTAAAACTTTTAATCCTTCTTGCATGTGTAGGGATTCTATTGATGTGATGAAACACCATGGCCAAAAGCAACTTGGGGAGGAAAAGGTTCATCTCAATGTACACTTCCAGGGAACAGTTTATCAGTGAGGGAAGTCAGGGCAGGAACCAGGAGGCAGGAACTGATGCATAGGCCATGGAGGAGGGTTACTTACTGACTGCTACTCATGGCTTACTCTGCCTGCTCTTTTGGAGCACTCAGGGCCACCTGCCTAAGGGTGACATGGCCTACAGTGAGCTGGTCCTTCCCACATCAATTGTCAATCAAGATAAAAAATGCAATATTGGCTTTTTCAAAAGCCAATCTGGTGGGGACATTTTTTCTTCAGCTGAGGTTCCCTTCTGAAATGGCTCTAGCTGTTTTCAAGTTGATTTAAAATTAGCCTGCACAGATACCCACTGGGATCTTTAAAAGACTAATTAAAGATCAGGACAGAAACACAATCACTTGCATTTAGCAATTGGCAACTGACTGAAGGCTAAGTGAGAAAGAAGAAAAAAATCCCAGATAGTGTTGGCCTGGCAATTGCTGAGTACTGAAATTTTGCATTCACAGTTTTCCAGTCTTCATAATAATCTTAGAAGGTAGGTGCAGTTGTAGTCATTTTGCATATGAACATGTTGAAACTTAGGGATAGGTAGCTGCCTGCTAGTCCCACTGCTTGTTAGATTCTGGTGCTGGTGTTTGAACTTGGGAATCACTCCACAATTCTACCTCCTGAGGTCTCAATTCTAGAGAGCAAGCAAGATCTTAATGCCACAGAGAGAAATAGGATTGACAAGGATTTTTTTCCTTAGATTGGAAAAGGCTGAGTTTAGATTGCTAGTTAGGTCCCTAGGTGATTATGTCTTGGCATAGAATTAGACAATATACCAGGGATGATTAAGTGCATGGGTGCATATGTATATATTTGCATGCATTCATGTGCAAGCAATGTAGAAAAAGACTTACAGAAAAACAAAACATTTGAGGAAAAACTTTGATGAAATGCCTATGCTGGGAGAAGTCCAGAGGAAAAGACAGTCAGAGAAAGAGAAAACCCCATGGTCTGAAGATGGAAATCAGGTAGAACAGTATGTTAGACGCCAGAGTAAAGGTTTCTGGAGGTCAAAACGAATAAGCAGGTGGAAGGACTTGAAGACTGAGCACTGCATATTGGCTTTGACAAAGAAGTCACTGGTGAGCTTTACTCATTTTTATTTTATTTTCAATGGAGCTTACAAAGCAGGGGGTTTACTTGTGGCACTCACATAAAATTTGGTTTACTTATGACATTTGCATAAGTCTTTGTTTACTTATGACATTTGCTTAAGTCTTTGTTTACTTATGGCATTTGTATACAGTCTTAATTTTGGTTGACCTTCTCCCACCTTCTCTTTCCTGTCTTCTCCCCCATCTCCGATTAAAGCCTTTCACCCTCTGGTAGATTTTATCCTCCATTTTAAGATCATTAAGAGAAGTTTGGGCAGGATTGCGTAGTAGAGAGGAATATCAGGGAGAAGCCAAAACAAAAAGCATAGGCAATTTTTGTGAGGGGGAATAGTGAAAGAAAGGAGGACATTGAATGATGGCTTGGCAGAGGCTTTGGGACTTAAGGATAGGAAGGTTTAGGGAGCAAAAGTAAAGTCTGTCTGAGGGGAGAGAACTGGGGGATGGGTGAATGTAAGATGGTAGATGACAGAAGGTCTTATGGGTGGAAGAGGGACCCTAGAATTCCAAGAGCTATGAGGGCAAGTTCATACAATTCTTTCTCAGAGAAAGGACCAGAGGGAAGAAAGATTGTGGAAGGTGCAGACAGACTTTAGGGGTCGGGACAAGGGGTGTGTCGGGGTGCCACATCAAATGGCTGTGGTCTCCTTGGTGATGTAGTAGTAAGGTAGTGAGTGTGAGGGAGACAGGCAGTCACCAGCTTCCTTTCTGCCTTCTGCGGAGTGTAGAGAAGAAAGTGGCAAGTGGTAACCAGAGACAGAGAAGCTCACCAGCCTCAAGGTTCTGTGGTTGGCTTCAGCTAGGTGGACATGTGACACTTTGTGTTATAACAGGATGTTACTGGGGACAGAGCACTGTATTGGCTCAGTTACCAATCCTGTACAACCCAAGCAACCTACCAAAAAAAAGTGTGTGGCCATGGGCTGAAAAGAGGTGACAACTTCTAATAGAAAATTTAAAAACCAAGTCATCTAGTCAATATGTGTTTACACAGGCAGGCCCCTTTGTGGACTAAAACTGTGAAGTAATTGGATAAAAATTACGTCCTGATGTTAATATGATTCAGATTTGTCAATTAGTTAGACACATAATTATAAGATCATTGAACAGACAGCTGTGGCTTGATGAACTCTAAACAGGGTCCTAAACGTTCAGAAGGAGACCTAAAGTGTTATAATGTGAGTATATAACGTATGGTGAAAAGATTCCACATTGGGACTAATTTCTGTGTTGCCTCGTGCTTTCCTGAGTTTATACACAAGTTCCCAAATGCTGACTTTGAAATGGTGGCCATAGCTAGAGGTCTAGAGGGCTACCTTTTATAATACCAAAACAAGTAAAACATTTTGTTAAAAGGACGTTTGTCTTTCATTTCATGATTTGTTGCACAGGTAAAAATGCCGTGTGTGTGTGTGTGTGTGTGTGTGTGTGTGTGTGTGTGTGTGTGTGTGGGTGTTTGTGCGTGTGTGTTTTTGTGTGTGTGTGTTTGAACCTAGGGCCTTACACATGCTTAGCAGGCAATCTACTACTAACCTATGCTACCAGCCTTTTTATTCTGAGTCAGGGTTTCATTAAGTTACTGGTGCTAGCCTTTGAACTTTGCTCTGGAGCCCAGGCAGGCTTTGTCAGTTCGGTCTTCCCATCTCAGTCTCCTAAGCAGTTGAAACTGCAAGCCTGTGCCACCAGGCCTAAATTTGCAGTTAACAGCTTCGCCATGAATTTTCCCACTTGCTACAGGGTGAATGGTGTAGCTTACACAAATGGGAGAACATTAAGAATGAAAATCAAACACAGGCAGAAGATTTGAGGTGAAAGCACTATTTAGTGAAAATTTCACCATTTAGTGAAAGCACTAAAATGAACAAATGATAATGGCAATAGTAAAATAGCGAGTGTCATGTTGTAAAGTCCATGGTGATACTTGGGAAGGAATAAATTCAGTAAGTTAAGTTCTTCTGGTGTCAGGGCACAGGGAGCCATGTTTTGAAGAGCCATCATGTCCAGATGGGATTTGAGGTTCTGGAGGAAGGGAAGCTACAGGCTCTTCCTTCCCTGTAAACATCAGAGTGGGGATGGAGAAAGACTGTCAAGAGCATTGGGGCTGCTCATTTACAAGTATATTATGGCAAATCTCCCAGAACACTTTCCCAGGCTGTGGATCTGAGCCCCTGTGCACTGGGGTGTAAGCACAGAATGACTTGATATCTCAAAATGTGTGACCCTGCTGATCAGAAGGTAAAAGCCAAAAGCCCAGGATGATTAATGGCTGGCCCACTCATAAATGCCCATAGAAGTAGAAAACTACGTGTCGGGACTAATGGAAAGTAAGACCATTTATTGAAACAATTTTGGGCAATTTTATACTATTCCAGGAAGAAACATTATAATACATATTTGAGTCATTGATTAAATTAGCCATGAATAAGGACTAGGGAGACATCTCACTGGATAAGAGCATTTGCTATGCAAATATGAGGAACTGAGTTCAGATCTCTAGAACCCATGAGAAAAGCTTGGTTGGTCACATGGACCTGCAACCTCAGCACTGTAGGGGGTAGGGAGGGAAGAGACAGAAGGATTACTGGGACTTTTGGACTCCAGGTTCAGTGAAAGACCCTGTCGCTAGGGGATAATCAGGGTTGTGATAAAGTAGGAAACATGCACCAGAACACGTGTGTGTGTGTGTGTGTGTGTGTGTGTGTGTGTGTGTGTGTACATCATATTTGCACACCTACACATGTAACCACACATGTACACACACACACACACACAATTCCAAAAAACCCAGCATATATGGATTAAAAAGTACTTTTATTGTATCCGTGTCTCCCAGGACAATGTGCTCTAAGATGGGGGTGGAGCTGAGGCTGTAGAGCTGCTCCTAGATTTCTTCACATGTTTTTCTGGAATTGGGCTCATGGTCTACTATCTCTTGGACTATACATTTCCCCAGAGGGTGATGGATCCTGAGGCTAAACTTTCAGATTTCTTTGCATTTCCAGACTTCAGGGGCCTGGTGTGGGAGTGAAATTGTCCCTTTGACTTGGGACCTTTTATCTACGGAGTTTTACCTATTGCTTTGGTTATGTATCCTTTGGCCCACATCACTTGCTGTGTAAAAAAATGCTCCAAAGTTAGCAACATGAAGCAACACACATGTGGCTTTTTTACAGACTTTGTCAGGGTTTACACAATATTTTGCTGGTGTCAGTACTCTGCAGTCATCCTAAGGCTTGAGTAACTGAAGATCTGTATCCAAGCTCAAGAACCAACTAAGTTGTTGGACTGAGGGTCTCACTTCCTGACTGGTTGCTGGGTGGGGGCCACCCTTGTTTTCTTATCAAGGACTTCACTAGGATAGGTCAAGAAGTGATGCCAACACTAAAGTGAGTGAGCCAAATAAAAGTTGTTTAATCTTGGAAACAACCTTTTATCATCTTTGTATATTTTCTTAATTAGAAGCAAAGCTTGGTCTGAATGTAGCTCTGAGGTAGAGTAGTGGCTTAGCATATGCAAAAAGATGGGGAGGAGGAAGAGAGAAGGAGAAGGGGAAGAGAGAGAGAGAGTGGAAGGGAGGAGGAAGAGTATGGAAGAACAGTTGAGGGGGGAGAGAGGTAGGACAGGAGGAGGAAGAGAGAGGAAGAACAATGGAAGAGCCCAGGAGGAAGAGAGAAGAAAGAGGGAAGGATGGAGGAGGAGGAGGAAAAGGAAGAAAGAAGAGGAGGAAGCAGCAGCATCAGCAGATACCTCATTAAAGGGGAGTCAAGTCCACAGGCCATTACTACCAGGAGACAAGACTCACTGGAGGGCTTCCAAGTCACACCCACATGAGCCAGGCAAGCAGAGGCTCATGGATGCTTCCCCTCACTACCCTGTCTCAGTAAGTTCTTGGTGAAGCCAGTGTTAAATCAAGCAGAGCGGCAAGTATTTTATCAATTGAACTACCTCCCTAGATGCCTAGGCAATCTGTCTCTTGAGTGCATATAATGAAGAGTGAAATTATTGAGTTGCTGGCTTCAGTAGATCCTGGAAAAGTCATTTCTTTTGTGGTTATCTTATATTAGGCTCTCAATTGTACCCTGTGATGGGCTGTTTTTCTTGTCTTTTTGTTTTTATGCTACAGTGAATGTCTACTAAAGTAGACATTTTTTTTTACCTGACCATATGATTTAACTTTTCAGAGAATACACACAGTTCTTGAACTATATAGCTGAAAACCAGCCTGATTGTCTTCTCCCCCATTTTGAGCCATTTTCTCTTCTTGTAGGGATGGCCTGTAAACATCATCACGGCCGATCATGTGTCTCCACTCCATGAAGCGTGTCTGAGAGGACATTTTTCTTGTGCAAGTGTTTTACTGAGTCATGGAGCTCAGGTAAGTGAAGCTTAAATAATAGAAACAAACAGTATCAAAAAAATCAAAACTGGCTATTTGTTTCCCTCTGAATAATTTCCAGTACCTTTGATTAGTCTGATTTGAAATGTACTTTTCAAGAGTATTATGCCTAAGTGCATGTGCTTTGCCAAGAGGTGAAATACTTCCTTTTTTACCTAGAAAGTTATATTAGTTACTTTCCTGTTGCTGTGATAAAACACCATGACCAGAAGTAACTCAGGGATGGAAGAATTTATTTGGGCTCGTGGTTCCAGAGGAATAAGTGTCCATGATGCAGAGGCATGACTGCAAGCAGCAGGCACCACAGCAGAAGTGGGAAGCTCAGAGCTCATATCTTCAAAACCAAACAGGAAGCAGAAAAAGGAAGTGGTTCAAATGGTTCAAGGACAGACTTCCTCCAGCAAGGCCACAGCATCACCTCAAATGGTCTCACCAACTAGGGACTAAGTGTTCAAATACCAGAGCCTATGGAGGGCTTGTCTTCTCTTTTTTCTGAGACAGGGACTCTGTGTAGCCTTGGCTGTCCTGGATTTCACTTTGTACACCAGGCTGGCCTCCAACTTAGAGATTTCCCTGCCTCTGCCTCCCAAGTGCTGGGATTAAAGGTGTGCATCACCACCTTCTGGCCTATGGGGGTATTTCTAATTCAAACCACCACAAAAATCATGTTTAGAGTCTGAAGCATTTTCCTTATCAGACAGCATTAATAAGTAGTGTTTCATAATTGTAAGCTCTCTACCTACATGTCTCTGGGTAACAGGGAATGAAATGCTGCAGAAAAGGTGAGAGATTCAACTAGGGATGGTCAGCATGTCAGAATAAGAACATCTCTGAAATCTCTCATTCTGTATTTGTTCAAAGGAGAGCAGGGATTGCAAGGGCAGCAAAAGAAGGCAGGCTCTTCTCTTGTTTCACATTTGTTATTGTCATATTGGCAGAGTAAGCCACAGAAGCAATCCCAGATTCAGGTATTGGAAAAATAGCCTCCATCTTGTGATGGGAATGGCTGACGTGCCATATTGTAACGGAATTCGCACTGTGGGATAGAAAGAGCCTCTGGCCAGTTTGCAAACTAACAAGGCGTCATAGGATTAACAGGGATTATTGGGAGCACATAGAAGTGTTCATCTATTTCCAGTGGGTCAATCAAAAGGGACTTTCTTCATTAGATTAGATGTCTAATCTAAAAGAGAAGTAACCAGTCAGCCAAATGGTGAAATAAAGGAAGGTAAAGACTTCTAATGCGAGAGACACAACTGACCCAAAAGCCTGGAAGTAAAATTGGCCAAATTTTGCCAACCGTGTTTATGGCAGGAGAATAGTTGGGTGAGACGGTTTCTTGTGAGTTATGATGAAAACAGGGCCAAGGCTAAGGGGAGGCAAAATAGGCAACTGGGATGGAAACGTTAAAGAAACAGTCACTCTGTGGTCCTGTGGCACTATGGGAACTCCAGAGTGAGCATCTCCTGTATGTTTTTTAGGTCTGGGCCTTCCTTGGGAAGAGGGTGTGGTAGTGAATTCGGTTTTTTCCCCACAATATCTTCATTTAACAGATACATCAGAGTATATGACAAGATAGAAAAGTCCGTGTATGTCTGGGCTTGCTATCTAGTGTTTGTAGCCCAAGCATAATGATATGGATCTTAGTTTGTAAACTTCTGTGACAGTTCTAACATAAGAAAAAAATCTCCAGAATCTATAATTTTACAGTCTTGTTAACCAGTTGTATATCTGTTTGCCAGCATATTTAAGTAGCATATTGACAGACTGTATAAATACTTCTTTGATCCGACCCTACCATCTTACCACTCCTCTGGTTAGTGAATGAATTGAATAAATTCTTTGGTGTGTGAATCATATTTGCATGAGAATCAAACCTTTAAGTAAAAAAAAATAGTCTTTTTAAAAAATCAATTTTAGCTTACTCTGGCTACTGTCTAGGATGGATGTTTAAAATGGAAACGTTAATTTGTAAGCTATGCTATGGAAATTATCGTAACTAGTTTTAAAGTTCATGATCCCAAGGAAGGCAGGGAGGAGATGGAATCTTCAATAACGTTATGACTGCCTTGTATTTTATACTTCATTTGCTTTTTTAATGACAGTTTGGTGGTCCTCATTTTATATAAGAAGATGGACCTTAAGGCTCAAGAGAAGTTAAAAAACCCTTTGAAAGTGAGAGGGTTAACCTTGAGTTCAATCCACATCAGTCACTGTCTTCATCCTGGAGTTGGGTTTTCTTCACAGGTGAATGGCATAGCCATAGACTGGAGAACACCCTTGTATAATGCCTGCCTCGGTGGCAACCACGATTGCGTGACTCTCCTTCTGGATCATGGAGCAGCTCCCCATCCTGAGAGTGATCTGGCCTCTCCCATCCACGAGGCTGCAAAGAGAGGTAAATCCATCTGGAATGTGAGGGTTTTTACCCAGTCCTTCGAGGACACTCTTACTACTGAAATGGGAAAGAAGAGGGACATTTTAGTGCAATAGTTTTCAAAGGGCGCCTGGTAGTAGGAGCGTCCATATGACCAGGCTTGTGAAGAAAGACTCGGAGGCTCTGCTCTAGCCCTGTTTAATCCAAATATCTCCAGGGTGTTCTGATCCACAGTTAAGTTTGAGAAGCACCCTTTCAGAGATATATTTTCATAACAAGGGATGGTACGTACTAGACTACACTATGGATCTTTGTGGAATACTTGATCCCATAGAAATCAAGGGTTTTTGTTAGTCCATAATTAATTGTATGAAGCAAAAGGATTCATACTAACATTTTCATTCAAGGCTATCATGTATCTCAATCATATTCAACCCTCAATCATATTCAATCATATTCATTTCTCTCTCTTGCCTGTCTTTCTCTTCCCAAGGAGACCCCCTTCTACTTTTATGGTGTGTGTGTGTGTGTGTGTGTGTGTGTGTGTGTGTGTGTGTGTGTTTGAACACACATATATAATCTAGGTTCCACATATGAGTGATTGTATATTTTGTATTTGTCTTTCTGGGTTTGGCTTATTTTGCTTAGTATGGTGATCTCCAATTACACTCATTTTCATGTGAACAATATAATCCCATTCTTTATGTCACAACAAAACTCTGTGTTATACATTTACCATAATTTTTTATCCATTCAGCTACTAATGGAGAACTGGGCTAATTCCATATCATTGACTATTGTGGTACATTGGCTCAGGTTCCTTTAGTATATACCCAGTAGTGTTGGTACAGCCAAGTTGTCTGGTAATTTCACTGCAGTTTATCTGGGAGACCTCCATAATGATTTCCATTGTGGGTATCCTAGTTTACATCCCCACCTACAGTGGATAAGGGTCCCTTACCAGCATTTGTTGTGTGCTTTACAAAACAATCATTTTCTATTTTAGGGTATCAACAGTGGCTTGGGGTCATCTAATTTTGAAAAGTGAAACATATTTTCAGCTTGAGGAAATCTATAAGACTTTTTATCAGTTCAGGGATGATCTTAGTTTTTTTTCCTGTTGCCATGCTAAAATACTCTGACCTCTGATGGAAGCAACTTAAGGGAGAAAGGACTGATTTTAGCTTACAGTTCTAAGTACAGCCTATCACGGTGGGGAATTCAAGGCAGTGGGAGCATGAAGCAGCTGGTCATGTGGCATCTCCAACCAGGAAGTGGAGAATGATGGATACACACATGATGCTTAGCTTGATTTCTCCTGCCCAGGCAATGGTCCCACCTACAGTTAAGATGAGTCTCAAATACTAATTAACAGTAATCAAGCTAATCCTTCAGAGAAATTCTCAGAGGCCAACCTTAATCTAGATAATTCCTCACAAGTGTGCCTGGATGCTTGCCTTCTAGCTGATTCTAGATTCTGTCAAGTTAACAGTTGTCACAAGAGGGTAAATCTTTCTATAAAGTACAGTTTGAATTTTTGCTTTTCTCTGGTGTTTAGCATCACCTGCATGTCTATACTTTGCTGGAGGGCTTTCTGTTTCCCCAGGGCCTTTCTAGAATGGCTTTGCATTCAACCAGACCAACCAATGTTGTAATTAACTGGGAAATCATTGTGGTTTCTTTATGAAGAGCCATATTAACTCAACATGTTTACTGGATACATACAATTAAAATGGTTCAACATGAGACCCCAAAGGGTGGTGTTTAAAATATGGCATTCTGGGCCAAGGCAGAGTGAATCTACTTTGAACAAACTTCGTTTGCCAGACTGGGCCTTGCTCCCATGGGATTTGGCAGTGTTTAAGATTTGCCTGTGCTTATTGTGGCCTATTCCTCCAGCCTTTGCAGGCTGTAAGCTTCCTGCCCTGTCCTGTGATACATTCCATGTCTTTCTTCAGGACCATTTTTAGTCCTGTTGCTCCATGGCTCTTACAAGCACACAAACAATTGATAAAGGTGAGTGGATGCTGGTTGGTTTCTATGGCTAGTGAATGCAGGTGCTGTTCCATCTGCAGCTGTGGATGTTGATGGTTGGATCCTGTTCTTTGGCTGACCCTCCTTTCGTTTTGATGAACCAAGGCAAAAGCCTGATTCTCCTCTTCATGGAATGGCTGGGTGAGCTGACCTAATGGACTTTTGAACAGACATTTACTCTGATGCCAGTGTTTAAAATTATTTTCCATTTTAAGTAAAAGAATATGGCTTTTATCTCCTGAGCAAATTGAGAACATGGGAAGAGGGGGGAGGAAGCTATGAGAGTGAGAAGGGAAGAAAAGGAAGGATGCAGAGGTCATGAGGAAGCAGAAATTTTGAATCAGGTGTAGATTAGAAGAAAGGACATATGATAGGTAGGATTTTAGTTGGGGGGGTGGTAGAGGAGGAAGGGAGGGAGAAGGGAACTGGGTTCATCATGTAATTCAATCTTGTTTGTAATTCATATATATAAAAAAATAAAAAACAAAAACAAACAAAGAATATGGCTTTTGATTGCTGGATGTGTTGGGGATTCATTTAAACACACAAAAATAGGGACTTTTGTTTAGGGAATTTGTGCAGTAACCCTTTTCTTCTTTTTTGGACTGTAGGTCATGTGAAATGCATCGAGTCCCTTGCAGATTATGGTGCCAATATTGACTATAACATCAGCCACCTGGGTACTCCTCTATATATCGCTTGCAAAAACCAGCAGCTAGCCTGCGCCAAGAAGCTTCTGGAGTTAGGTAAGGCAAAACAGCAAAACAAAATAAGGCATGAAAATGAAAAGCAAATTAAGTGAATCTTGAAGATCCTGGTGTCATACTAAAGGGAAGAGTGTGAGCAAGGGGCTTGAGACATACATTGTCCTCATGAGGAGTTGTTTTACACCATTCACACTTGTGTTTTCTCACTTCTAACTAGCATGACAATGAAGAAGAAGGTGATGATGTATACCACCCATGCCTTCTTCCAGGGTGGTCCTCATTTATCACTAGTTGATCTATCCTTTACTCTGCCTCTCTCTAGCTGGGCAATCGTGATTCAGCTCTACAAAGCTTGCAAAGCCAATGGGTTTTAGCTGACTCTTCCGATTTGGGACTATCTTCCGTGTTTCTTTCTGATTAGGAAATTAGTCCGCCATAAACATTATCCTTTCCATGAAGAGATGTTCTATCATTCCATATCTCCCTACAGCTGTCCCTTCTTCTCAACACTGGGAACACTGTTCCAACTCTTTAATTTTCTGAATTCTGTTCTTCCTTTAAGACTCCAGAGTCATTCCCCCCACACTGACTGTTCTTGTGTTCCCTATTTCTTTTCTTATTCACCATTTTCTCTGCCACTCTCACTCCTTCCTATTACTACTTTTAGGTAGATTTTAAGCTTTGAGATATTTAAATCTGTTATCCAGGACAGGGCCGTCTTTGGCATCTCTCACAAAGTAAAAAAAAATTATTTAAAAACAATTCAATGAATGTTTGTTGCTTGGGCATCGGTTTTTGTGGAGGGACATCCGCTCAGGTGAAAGTCTGAGCCTGAATATACCTCAGTGAGAAGCAGACTCTGAGCTGGGATGGGGTTTTATTTAGAGGGTAACTAGAGTTTGGTGGGGATAGCCCCAGAAATCCACCTTCCTCCTAAAGAGAACTTGCAACCCTTCCTGTGATAACAGGATCCATTTTTCCAACTTAGGAAAAATGCCCCCTTAATTGGTTGTGTTTAATGATCCAGCTCACACAGTCGCAAGTCCCGTGGCTTTAAATGCAGTGCTGGCTGCTCAGTGTATGAATCTGGCTTCATGATGTACACAGTGTAAGTCTTTACTAGTACTTACACTGCATTAATAATGAATATGCAACTTTCATGCTACTCAGATATTTCTTGATTGTATTATGCCCATGAAGAGTACTCTGTGTCGAGTTGGTACCTCCATATGTTACACAGCTCACATTGTACTTTCAGTCACATTGTCAAATACTATTTTCCTTTTATTATATTTGTGTAAGAGTGTGCATGTTTATGTGGGGAGGGTTGTGTGTGTGTGTGTGTGTGTGTGTGTGTGTGTGTGTGTGTTTATGCTCACCTGGAGGCCAGAGGTCAACCTTAACCATCCAGCTTAATGTTCAGAGCTCATGCTCTCACTAGGACCTGGAACTCACTGATTAAGCTCAGCTGGCTTCAAGGGTCTTCCAGTCCCCACTCCTCAGCATGCTAGGACCACAAGCATGTGCTTCCACACTCACAGTTTTCTCTGGGTGGTGGGGATTCAACACAGATTCTCATACTTGGATGGCAAGCACTTTGCCAACAGAGCTGTATATCCAGTGCCCAGTTTCCCTGTTACTATAGTAAATGATATAAAGTCAGACCAGTTCACAATCTCACAGAATCATGTTCATCATGGATTCCCCATTTTAAACACTTTTGACACTCCATGTTTTGTTCTTGTGACCATTTAGGAGCATCTGTGAATAAAGGCAAAGGCTTGGAATCCCCTCTTCATGTAGTGGCCAGGATGTCTTTTGGGGAGCTGGTATACCTACTGATGGACTTCGGAGCAAATGTTCAAGCTAGGAACGCTGAAGGAAAACGTCCTGTGGACTTGGTGCCTCGGGAGAGTCCTGTGACTGAGATCTTCTTGGAGAGAGAAGGTGCCTCTCCTTTGCCCAAATCTCAGCTCTAACTCCTAAGACTTCTTTGATCTTTAGTAGGAGGCAGGCATTTCCTAAGTTCTGACTTCCAGTCCTGGAAAAGATTGCTCTCTGCCATCACCATGCATGGGGAACCTGAGATAATTCCATAGGGCACAACACTGTTTATGAAGTAAATAGCCTGTTGTTGTTGAATATGTTGGAATCAGGCTGTTAGGCCAGTTTTTAAGGAGGTCAGGCTATTGTTAAAAAGTATTTGATATTTAAGTTAACCGAAGCATGCTTTAGAGTAGTGGTTCTCAACCTTCCTAAAGCTTTGACCCTTTAAAATAGTTCCTCATGTTGTTGTGACCCCCAACCATGAAATTATGTTGCCACTACTTCGTAACTGTAATTTTGCTACTGTTATGAATTGTAATGTAAATATCTGTGTTTTCTGATGAACTTAAGTGACCCCTTGAAAGGGTCATTCTACCCCTACAGAGTTCGTGACCCACAGAGTGAGAACCACTCCTTTACAGTAATTCAGCAGAAGCCTTCTAGGCATTGTCTGATTCCCCAAGATGTCTAACTGCTCCATACATCAGCCAAACCTAGGAGTAATTGATTGCTGGGATTAAGATGAAGCTAACTGAGAGTTTAGGGTATTTGTTTAATGATTCACACCAATCAAGATACATTTACTCTTGCAAATTATGTACACTCCTCCATAAATAAGACCTCACACTGCTCTTCCAAATAACTACACAGTGGTATGCACAGGAGAAGGGGCATTTCTTAGAGCAAAGAGTCCTTTTAGGTTGTGAGGATACCTGATTGCATTGTCAGTTGTTCCTGAAGGCAATTCAGTACCTGCATTCTTACCAGAGTGTTGATTGTGCTGTTTTTGGACTATGGGACTCTGAAGCAGGTCTCCATACCTGAAGGACTCTGATGTCAATAAGCTGGTTATTTTCTACCCACATGCTGAGAAGTAGGCCTGAAGTTGGGCAGAATGATAAAGTGGGCCAAAGACTTCCTCCTACTCCCACTGCCCCAGGGCAATTGCCCATCTTGCAGTTGCCTGCACTCTTTAGCATTGCAGCACAGGCTAAGGAAGACTGATGTAGGCGGAAGGAATCAACTAGAGGCCTCTTTCTGTTAAACAGTTGGATAATCATTGGGCATTTCTGCCTGCATTTTGAAGATTTCTTGTTTTAAAAAAGTCCTATGTATACACACAGGGTCACTTTCTCTTACAGTCTCTCAGAGCCCACAGAAATATTTTAATTAATTCTTATTAAAACAAGAAGGAAGATGAATAAATCCTAACCAGAATTATATTCATCTTTATACTTACATAGCTATAAAATGTTTTAATATTTTTTATTGGAAATGTGTTACCCAGAGGCAGCTGTGCCTCAGGGTCCTTTGAAGTCACACAGTGGGATGAGTCATAAGATTTTCAGATTGTTTTCACTGATATTTTCCTTTTTAAATTTTTTGAGACAGGGTCTATCTGTGTAGCCCTGGCTGTCTTTGAACTTGCTATGTAGATCAGGCTAGACTTGAACTCGCAGAGATATCCTTGCCTCTGCCTTACTGTTGGGATTGAAGGTGTGCACCATCATGCCCAGCTTGGTGTTTTCTTTCTACTCTATTCCCCAGAGCTATTCATAGAGACCTACGTTATCCTTAATTTCCTCATTTCACACTTGGAATGATGACAGTAGGCCTATGATCCTACTGGTTTAGGGGTACAGCATGGCAGTGAAGCACACCCTGGCTACAATGAAAGGTGCTACATTCCATCCTAAGGACCCCAAACCAACAAAATATAATTTGCCACAGAAGAAAATCACCTCCATTTTGCCTTCATGAGTCACTTTTAGGATTCTGATGAGGCCACTTCTTAGCAGGACAGTAGGCCACCAGAAACAGTTCCATGCAAGCACAAAGTTAGAGCTGCAGATATAACACACCAGTTTCTTTTTCTGACGCTGGGTCTCCTTGCTGATTCAGCTTACCTGACTCTCTGTGCTCAGGGAGGCAACTTAATTAAATCACTGTCCTTCCAGGGTGTGGGGACTGGGGAATATAAGCTGAACTTAACTGTGCTCTGAGTTGGCTTGGCATGGAAGTTAGGGAAGGTGGGGATCTCACTTTTCTTGGAAGCCAAGGGAAAGGATTTCAGGAGTCACACCCTCCAGCACTGGCACATACATGTTGCTCCCTAAGTATACACTGTGAAGTGTGCTGGTCTATGCCTTGAACATAGTCTGAAAGGTGCCCCAACTTCGAGCTGTACCTTCTAGAAAGTGCTGTCAGGGTTCTAGCTGGAGCTTACATTTTTTTGACTGTTTGTTTTCACTTCTTGTGTTCCATCACTTGAGAGACCCATAACTAAGTTCATCTGGAGCTTGCAGTGAGGCTACAGGACAGTAGGGGCTGTAGTATCATTTCAATTGTAGTTTCAAGACTGATTTCACAATAAAATGACCTGGAGCCCATGGCTTTAACAAAATCTAGATGCACAGGCACAAACTAATGATAACTGAAGCAGTGTCTCTGGGCCGGGACACAGTTTAAACTTCCCCAACTCCAGCCAAATCTAAATTGCATACTAGATTGAAGGCTACTGTTTCATGCAATTATTAAGGGTATATAGTTTTCTTTAAAAAATAGCAAAAATAATTTCCATTTTAATTTGGTACAAAGAGTGGGGGTGGGGATGGGTGATTATACTTCCCTTTTATTCTATAATAGGGGTTCTAAACCTTGGTACCATTGACAGTTGGAGTCATTGACAGTGCTGTGCTCCTGACTCCAGGAAGAAAATACCTCACTTTTCTTTTCCCCTACCCAGCCTGTTGAGAAACACCATCCTAAAATTTAAACTCTTGGGTTCTCTGTGCGAGTTTATGTTAGTTGAGTTTTCACCCATGAGATGAAGCTTTTGGATAACTTAGAATGCAGAACAGAAAAGGAAACACAACTAAATAACATGAACTTATGATTCATTTGGAACTTAGTATATTTGAATATCTTTAAGTTGTTAAAATTATAACATAGATGTACTTGCATCTAGAAATATGATTTAATTTTTAAGGTAAAAGACAGCACCCTGAAGCATGAATTCTATTTTTTATGATTCAAATTTTTGTGTAGCTATTTAATTTCCAAGTTAGTTTCCTTTTGCCTCTCTTAATGAGGGTAACTTTTACATTTCTTTTACTCTGTCATAAATTAAAATCCAGTGAGGGACAGAGATGGCTGAGCAGTTAAGAGTGCTTCCTGCTATTGCAAAGGATTGGGGTTCTGCTCCCAGCACCTGCATCTGGCAGCTTACAACCTCCTGTAATTCCAGCTGCAGATGATCCTGTGTCCTCTTATGGCTTCCATAGATACCCTCATGCTTGTACCCACACTCCATGTATATACATATATATAGATAAACATAAAAGTAAAGCTTAAAACATAGATTTTACTTCAGTTAAATACAGGAAAACAGAACTTGGTCTCAGAATGCCCCTTTATAGATGCACATAACAATTTCAAAGAGAACAAGGAGAGGTATACAGGAATGTTTGGTGGGAGGAAGGGGAAGGGGGAATTAATGTAACTATATTATAATCAGAAAAAAAAAAACAAAAAAACAAGGGAACATAGTCTTAAGCATGCAGTATTTCTGTATAAGGATATTATTATACATTGCATGATTTTAAAAGGCAGTCCTAGGTCAGCGAAGTCAATGTGTGACTTGTCCCATGCTCTTTCTCCAGGTCCTGAGTCTTTGATGCAGTTATGCCGCCTGAGAATCAGGAAATGCTTCGGCATTCGGCAGCATCATAAGATTGCTGCACTCTTCCTCCCGGAAGACCTGAAGCGCTTTCTTTTACACCTTTAGTTGTGTAAGGAGTGGATTCACAAACAACCGAAAAAGGTTGTTGAAACTTTGACCACTGGAGTTTCAAATAAACTTGTTGATAATGTTTGAATGTTTGACTAATGTTTTCTTTTACATTTTTTCCTGTTAGATCATTATTTTTAAAAATGGGAACCCACTGGGTCTTTTGTGTTACTGGTTAGAGAGTGTGAAGACTGTCCTCTGCTTAAAAATTAGCTATTGGTTTTGAACATGTCCTACTTGGCAAGAATGAAGCAAGGAACACGTTATGCATCATTTAATCGAGCCTTCATACAAACTGCCTGGGTGGGTACTATTTACTGTATTACCTTTGCTAGGTAATACACTGAAGCTCAGACTGATCAATATATCCAATTACCCAGATCAAGGACAGAGGAGCCAGATATAAACGTAAATTGGCTGCTGTTAACCTGGACAATTTTAGCTAAGCAGAATTTTATGTTCTGGCTCCATCTCCATGGCATGGAAAGGGAGACAAGAACAATGTTTCTTTGTTTGTATCTATGTATTAACCTTTTCTCACTTTATGACACAGATGTAACTGTATTAGCTATAGAAGCAAGTTTTACTCCATCCCAAATCCCATATGCACATTCAAAACATTCTAGAACCCTGCTGTGGAATATAGTAGCTACTGTTTAGGGCTTTCAGTCGTGGGTGATTTTTCAGCCCCCGCCCCCCAACTTGGGATATTAACAATGGCTGCATGCATTTTTAGTTGTCTTTACTAAGGAGATTTGTACTACTGGGTAATCTCAGTTCATAATTTGACAGACAGCTGGACAGAGGCCAGGGTTCCCCTAACCATCACTTGCTCACAGAATAGCCCCTCACCCACAATAAAGCATTATTCAGGTCAACATGCAAATGGTGTCTAAGTTGAGAAACCCTGAAGTGCACAAAGATGGTGAATTTAAAAAAAACAGAATTAATTAAATCAATGTAAAGTGAAAACTTCATCTCAGTGTCATCAGCCACATATCAAATGTGTTTATTATAACCTACTCAGGCAAAGTGGCCACTGTGCCGTATTACACAGGCACACAGGAACTTATATTGGACAGTGTTCCTCAGATGGTAAGTTAACTGATTTTAACTGCTTTTCAGTTTCAGATTTACAGGAAACCTGTGATGCAGTTTAGTATGGATGGTTTTAGTTATCTCACTGAGAGATGCATTTGGGGGTTCCATTACATCATTATAAAGAAAATATTGTAACCGTTTTAAGGAAAACCGTTATGTATGAGATGACATATGTTACATATGGCCTAGAGGATTCTCCTAAAATACACCCAACATAATTTGTCTGTGATTATTAATTTAATTTGCTGTATGAAAAAGTCTAGGCTATGGTTTGAAAATTCCTAACTAATTCTTCCAGAAGATGGCGCTGTTGCCACATAATTATTCAAGCAAAAGACTCACTACTCAAAAAAATGACCAGTCACAAAATGGTTTACCACGGAGGCTCTGGAAATTTCCATTTGGGAATGAAAACTTTGTGGTGATAGATTCTACTGACAATGGTTTCTTTGCCTTGTGCTATAGCCCATAGCTCTAGGTTGAATAAAACGTCTCCCTTCCCTGTTTGTTGGCTTCATAACCTGACCATCTCCACTTTCACTACTTAGAATTTATAGCTAGCTAATGAACATAAGTATCCCTGCATCTTGCTAATTCATTCAGTTCCATTCACTCACTGATTTTGTTTATTTGGGGATTACTTAGTGAGTGGCTGTGTCTCTTTGCAGGCACCATTCTAGACACTAAGGAGGCAAAGTTAATGAGAGGCATATTCTAACAACAGATACTGTTTCCTAGCTCTCACATTCTAGTCAAAGAGTCTTTTGCCAAGGGGCAGGAGCTGTGAGCATTTTGCCAGTGTTTTCTTTTGGAAAACATCAGTTTAGGGCCCAGGGAATTGGCTCAGGAAATGCAAGCATGACAACCCAAGCCCCCGTGATGATCCCCAGAACCCATGGCAGCACACACTTTTAAACCCAGTACTGGCAGGGGCAAAGACAATCTAGACAGAATGGCAAGCTACAAATCCAGGAGAGACCCTGTCTCAAAGGAGAAAAAAAAGCAATTGTGGAAGAGACTTAGTGTCAAGCTATAGCATCTACATATAAGGGCACAAATGTGCATGCGCATGTAAACCTATACACATGAACACTGTATACATACACACACACACACACACACACACACACACACACACACGACAGCCTGATGTTTCAAATAAAATGTCTCAGACGAACCCTTTCTATGGTAATCCAAAACTGTGACAGAATTATTAGAAGAACATTTTTCTTCTTAAGTGTTACAGTCAATTAAGCAATTTGAAAATCCATGTAACAAATGGTCATCTTCACAAAAATACTACCAGCTACTTCCCTTGTTGCTATTTAGGGCGATATTAAAGCATTTCAGTCAGCAACACTCAGAAAGAAGACTCCATTAAAAGATCCACTTTTATGAGTCTAGATATGATTGTGTTTACTAGTGGTGCACACCTTTGAATGCTTTGTTTACCTGATGCAATGCAAACAATTATGTCATAAAAGCTGTATAAGTCACACTTACATATTCTCACTGTCCTGGTTAGTTTTATGTCAACTTGACATATGCTAAAGTCATCTGAAAGGAGGGAACCTCAATTGAGAAAGTGCTTCCATAAGATTGGGCTGCAGGCAAGCCTGTAGGGCATTTTCTTGATCGACGACTGACATGGAAGGGCCCAGCTCACTGTTGGTGGTGCAACACAGGGGCTGGTGGTCCTAAGTTCTATAAGAAAACTGGCTGAGCAAGCCAGTAAGCAGCACCCTCCATAGTGTCTCCATCACTCCTGCCTCCAGGTTCCTGCTCTGTTTGAGTTCCTGCCCTGACTGCTTTCAATAATGAACAGTGATGTGGAAGTGGTAAGCAGAATAAACCCATTCCTCCCCAAGTTGCTTTTGATCATGTGTTTTATTCCAGCACTGAAAACCCACTTACTGGAATGGAGGCTATAAGTTATACCATCTTTTAAAGCTAATAAGAATTGTATCTGTTTTCACATCACAACCTAATATATTCTGTAGACTAGTGCATTGTTGCTTTGCAATATTTTTCTTGTTTTGGTTCAGTAGATGTACATGGGTAGCATAATTCATATTATGATGAAAGAAGAAAGCAAAAGAAAAGGGCTAGAAAATGATGGCTTTTAAATTCTGGCTTTGACTGACATGGTCTGGTACTCTGTGTACCAATCTGGAGTGCTCACTTAATAAACAGACACTAAAGGTTCAGGAACAAGGAAACAAATTGTTCTCTGCTTTCTATTCCAGGCATAGGGGTGGGGCTTTACAATATGATTAAAGCCTAGCCTTTGGGTTTCAAAATAAGATCAGGTCAGCATCATGCAGCTAACTAGTTCTTATTTCCAAGGGCTCACTAAAAAGTAGGTATGAAGCACTAGTGACTTATATAAATCTTTACAACTGTCGTGCCACTCCACAGACGGGTACAGAAGGGCTAAAAAGTCACAGTTAGCAAGTGGCAAAGCCAGGGTTCAACTCAGAAGTCAAGTCCCTCACCAATTACATGCTTTGCCATTCCTTTTCTTTAAGCAGCCACAGAGCTGTGGTCTTCAGGTCTAGGAACACCCTTCCCAGTTTCCTGATGGTCCCCAGAACATGGATTGGGAAGCAGGTCTGTAGGTCAAAGGTCCCAGTGTGATACTGAGAAGCAATGTTATGTTTAGGTCTGGACATTACACAGTGCTTTCTGGGTTAGCATGATTCAGCCTGAGAGAATCCAAACTTGGTAACTCTTGGGGTAAGTGAGTCATCCTTGTCCTTCCAGTGAGCCAGGTAGACATAGCACCATGCTATATGGTCTTAGGAGATCAAGCTTGATATTGCATATTAACTCTTATGTATGAGCTTACCTTGTTAGTGACAAAACCTTTCCATGATAGGATGATAGGGATGTCCCCTACATGTTGGAGAATACTGACTGCTCATTTGGTACTCCCCTGTTTGCTGTTTTCCTTCCAGCAGTAAGAGTCTTAGACTGCTACACAACAAGTTGTTACAAATGCGTTGGATTAATGCAACACAAATTGTTTGACATTGTTTTAGGTGCAGAGAGCTAGATTCTCTGTTTTGGGTCTCCACAGGACTGAAGATTCAGTATATTAGCTAATTTTCTCATGTCTGTGACCCAGTGTCTGAGAAGAAGCAATGTGAGGGAGGAACCTTTGGTTTTGCATCATTGTTTAAGGAGATACGGTCCATTGCAGTGGGCAAGTCGTCATGGCAAGGAGCAACTTGCATCTTGAAGCTGAGGAACCAGGAGTCTCAGGCTGCTTTCTCATGTCTCAGTGGACTAAGGAGTATCGAAAAAGAAATGCCAACATTGACCTTTATCCTATTTACCTTTCTATTCAGCCTGGCTATGGGATGGGTGGCACTCCCCACCCTTACCCCCAAATTCATGGTAGGTCTTATTCTTTTCCTCTTGTTAATTCCTCTTTGGAATTGCCTTCATAGGTGCTCCCAAAAATGTGTAACACTAAATGTCTGAGGCAGTTCTTAATCTGGTTAATTTGGCAATCAAAATCAATCATCATACACATATGTTGACATCATGACTTTTATCCAGGGTCCATGGAACTTTTTTTATGAGCTCATGCTTAGTGGCAGAAACTAGTTCCTTGTAGTTGTAGGACGGGCTCCTGTTTCCTGCTGGCTATCAGTCAGGGCTCTCTCAGCATCTAGAGACTGTTGAGTTCCTTGCTGTCTGTTTGAAGGTACCAGCATAGAAGTTTACTTCCTCTGAGGCCAGGAGGAACACATGTCCCTGAATTCCTGTTTGTAAGCAGCTGGAAAATACTGTCTGCTTCCAAGTCAAGCCTATCGGGTAATATCCGGACTTTAAAGTTAAGTCCTTTGGAGGCATTTTATGCCTCCAAGCTGGCTATACCTGCTGATGAC